GATTGTTCATACAATTGCAGGGATCGTTGATACATGTACAGAGTTTGTTCATACGTGTACAGGGATTGTTCATAGATGTACACGATTATCATAAGAACCATACATGCCCACATCCTACCTGAGTTTTCCTTGAATGATTTGGTGACTATACAAAATTGTGGTCAATGTAGTTTCAAACGACTATGGCGAACTTTTCAATCCTTTATACTAACTTCGCTTTTGTTCTTTTGGTTATGGCAAAAATCTTCGGATGGCTAAATGACCCATTTTCCGTCATCCTATCCAGAGCCGTTCTCAGGAGTTTGGGCCCCTAAGCATGGAGCGTAGGTTGGGGGCCCCAGAAAGGGGGTCCGGGTGTGGAGCTCCCTCGAGCTGAGGAGAAAACTCCACCCACCACTGCGGCAACTCCATTCTGCGTTCATCCCATTCCCATGGCCAAGTCCCGATTTCCTGTCTGCCATCCCAAAGCTCCCCAGCTGCTTCCCTTCCCCTGCCTCCGAATTCAACTCAGAATGATACATTTTAGGATGAGGAAGGTAACGTGAGTGACACAGACGGGTGCAGTGCCAGGGTAAAAAAAAACCGGGGGATCGAGGGCACCTCACGGGGGCCCCCTCACGTTCGGGGCCCTACGCGGATGCATAGTCAGCGTATGCCTAAGAACGGGCCTGTCCTATCGAGCCAAAAATTGACATAGACGTTGCCAATGTCAACACATTCTTCAAATTTTCAGCCTCATCCCCACCCCCAAAATTAGGATTTTACTGTTTTTTTTTAAAAAAGGGGGGGGGGGGAATTTTTATTCAATAAGTGGATGTATTAGTGAGGAGATAATAATATGCACTCTAATCGGGGCAAAACTAAAGGTCCCATAATTATAAATATTATAGTTTCGGTGTCCAGCATTTCCAAATCGATTTCAATTGGACAACTTTTGATTTTTTATGTCATCCATATGCCTAAGAACGGGCCTGTCCTATCGAGCCAAAAATTGACATAGACGTTGCCAATGTCAACCCATTCTTCAAATTTTCAGCCTCATCCCCACCCCCAAAATTAGGATTTTACTGTTTTTTTTTAAAAAAGGGGGGGGGGGAATTTTTATTCAATAAGTGGATGTATTAGTGAGGAGATAATAATATGCACTCTAATCGGGGCCAAACTAAAGGTCCCATAATTATAACTATTATAGTCTCGGTGTCCAGCATTTCCAAATCGATTTCAATTGGACAACTTTTGAATTTTTATGTCATCCATCACTTTTGGGGCCGAGGGGGGAAGGGAAGGGGGAGATAATTTTGAATAAACGGTCATGCCTTACATCTGGTCATTTTTAAAAATACAATATTAAAATGAAATATTTAAAAAATACGTCTCGGGGGGGGGGGGGGGGCTATAATTACAAAAAACTGTGAAGAGGCTATATCTTTGGGAATTGTAGGCTATACAGTTTTTATGGTGCAACTTTTAAAAGTCAACATGAATTAATATCTAAGTGATTTTCCCAGGGGGCCCCATTTTCAAAGAAAACTGTAACAAAACTTTTCTGACCAGGACTCCTTTTTGGGACAAGGCCCCTAACTTCAGTTCAATTTAATAAGATTTTTTTTTTAAATTTTGTTAACACTATTATTTGATGGCATAACTTTAAAATTCAAATATTTTCTTAAAGACATTGTTGAAGGGAGTGTACACAAATGTCAGTCTTTAAAATAATGATTTTTGTCAAGCCTTTTTTCTTTCTTTGCCTTTTTGAAAAATTCTTAAATTAGAATGGTTCGTTAGCGTATCCTCCGCAGACTCGCGTATTCTGTCCGTTCCCAAGACATGCACTCAATTATATGGTGAACGATCTTTCTCTTTCTGCGCCCCCAAACAATGGAATTCTTTGCCACTACACATCCGCAGTATACCAACCTACAGGCCTTCAAAACTGCACTCAAAACACATCTATTTAAACTATACTACTCTGACTGATTCCCCTCCTATAAACCGATAAACGTACATGGGTTTCCTTGTAAAAATGTCTGGTGTGGGTGGATGAATATACCTATGGTGTTGTTTTGCTTATATGTTGTTTTTATTTCATTTATGTATTTTATTTTAATATTATGATTATGCCTCTTTGCTATATTTATGTACAGCGCGGTGAGCCCAGCCCTAGGCTGGCGTACCGCGCTATATAAGACCACTTATTATTATTATTATTATTATTATTATTTATCAGCTATCACAGAGTCTTTCATGTAATTAATGCTCACTGATAAAGCTGTAGCAGTACTGACGAGTGTGAACCCGGGAAACGATGGGTTTATTAGCTAGTAATAAATAATATCAACCAAAAGATGAATACCTTCTAAAAGTAACCAAAGGTCATTAATTAATTTTTGCAATCAATCAAAATCAAAGGCAAAAATGACATGAAATAAAATCTTCATACACGCTCACTCCTTTAACCTCAAAACAAACACTCTCCATTTTCTGAACCTCTAGCCTCAACTCAAACACTCCATTCTCTCGTCCGTTCGTTGTAATTGCTATGTCAAGAATTATGAAGAGAAAGGCAGATGCGTTTGAAAAAAAAAAGTTGATTACATTTCTTACCGTTCGATAAAATCTACCACTTGTTTCGTTTGAACTTATTTGCATTTTTAGAATAATCGTCTCTAGAGATCAGATAAATTTTTTTTTTTTTCTCCAATTTCTCATCAAGATGTCCCATTGGAGTATTGATTTATTTAGAAATATCGAGTTTGAGCGAGTTATTTGCAAGAGATTAGAAGCAAAAAATGATGGACTAACCAATGAAAGATCTACAAATGGTGATTTTGTAATAAGGCTTTTATTTTTTCGACCCACCAAGAAATGAACCATAAACCACCTATCAGTGTTGTAAATTACCTATCAATATTTATAAACCCCTTTGAAATAAACTTTATTATAATTATTATTATCAATTTTATGAACTGCTTATCAATTTTACGAACCACATATCAATTTCATAAACTTCTTATCAATGTAATGAACCACCTATCAATTTTATAAACTGCTTATCAATTGTATGAACCACCGATCAATTTTCTTTAAAACTACCTATCAGTTGTATGAACTCCCAATCAAAATAATGAACAGCCTATCAATGTTATCAACTGTGAGCTATACGCCAACATTTTGAACCATGCCAAATCATTATTATAAACCATCAGCCCAGTGGCGTAGCTAGGGAGCTGAGGGGGGATTTGGGGGCCCGGGGGCTTGGCCTCTGTATGGGTCCTGCATTTTGACATTCGAAATTATCTAATGTAAAAAAAAAATTCGGACACGCCTTTGGGATCCCCCTCAAGTAGGGGCCCCGGGGACTTTCGAATTTGGACCCCCTCCCCTAGCTACGCCACTGCATCAGCCAACCATCAATGTTATGCACCTTGAATAACCCATCATCTTCTATAAAGTTGATACTGCGTAAAACAAGCGATTGCTCTATCTGTGCGTTGACCTACTGAGCTTCGTATTACACCCCACACCAGCTGGCGCCGATACTTGTTCTTCTTGACCTCAGATCCTTGTAAGGGAAACATCCACTCTAACGTCACATGACGTTGTATCTGACTGTAAATATTCAATCACCTGATACATTATTGGAAAAATGATATTCTCCAACCTTTCAAATCCAAAACTTAATTAATATTTCTCTAGCATGGAGTGACATCCCTTCACACCTATTTGTCCAATACGTGCCAACTGACAAGAAGCAAGTACCTCTTGTAACAGGGATCATGTGGCGTCATTGTTATATCTCTACTGGTATAAATAACAGTGGATTTCTATCTAACTTTACATTGCCTTCTGCAGCCATTTCTCTCAGTAACAAGTACAGTAAAAAATCATCTCTTGACAAAATGGTAAGTTCTTGTTTGTTTGTTTTGTAAAAATAGTTGAGGTGATATGTCATCGACAACTGTCATGGACAATTGAACATTATAGGAGCATTGTAAAAAACACATTTTTTTTTTAAATTTTGTTATTGCAAACCGTTGATTGTAAACTTAAAGCTCTAAGTCTAAGCACAGTGAGACACGGGGCTCACTGCTGGTCACCCATTTCTTCCTGGTCTATTTCCAGTCGTCTTGACCAGTGAAACACGGGGCACACTGCTGGTCATCCACCACTTTCTGGTCTATTTCCAGTCATCTTGACAAAGTCTTGCCATTGCATCAAATTGGCAAGGTCGAAAGAGGGAGGCTCTTATTACTTAAAAAAAAGATGCAGCTGACAACTGAAGTGAATGCTGCTGCCGACAGATGAAGTGAATGCTACTGCCGACAGATGAAGTGAATGCTGCTGCTGACAACTGAAGTGAATGCTACTGCTGACAGATGAAGTGAATGCTACTGCTGCAGTTGAAACCCTGTTTGCACATTAAGGAAGAACACTAAATCACTCAGACTGTTTCCAGAGAGCTGAATTAATAATTCTGTAGCCTATTTTTATTGAAGTAGATTTAAGTTGCTTATCTGACTCTTTATTTAAATTGTTCAGGTCCCAGGCATAGGAGATAACATTTTTGTATAGTTAGACGTTATAGATGGATGTTATAGTTAGATGTTATAGTTTGATGTTATAGTTAGATGTTATAGTTTGATGTTATAGTAAGTTATTTGTTGCAGTTTCGTAGCAAGTGAGGCCATCAAGTCAATTGATACTCCTGGCAAATTTTACTACCGAGATTAACGAACTATTCCTAACATTCCCATAACTACCGTGGACTCTTCGATTGGTTTATTATGGCCAATAACTTTGATCGTAATAGTTCACACTTAAAAGCCCATCTAAAAAATTCTGCAAGCCTCTTACAGGCAATGTTTAAAGATTAAATTGGGTTATAAGATACAGAATAAATAAAAAATAAATTAATTAATACACGCATCTTTAGTAGACACAAAATATAAATGGGACCGAGTGCTTTATTTGCCAGGTTTAGAACTTCGGGAACAATACGGGAACAGTTTTTTGTACGTGGCCCTAAAGGTGGAGCTCATTGACAAAAACACAAAGAGACCAACAGAAGCATTGAGATAGTCGAAGAAAAGCACAATGTATGCCATGGCAGTTGCCAGGTTGTGGTACGCACGGAGATAGTAGTACTCTGTGATCAAATACTTGGCCAGGAAGTGGGCAACGCGGGGACTCAAATTAATAATGTAGAGGACTATAATGACCAGCAGCATCTTTACGACTTTTTGGTCGCGGCTGGCCTTGGGGTTCGGGTTGGCTTGACCGTTGTTAGGGGCACCTGATTCACGACTGTCCTTGACCATCCCGCCGTTGTGATGCTGGTTTCGAAACTCAGAAGCCTGGCGGAGTTTGACTGAGATGACGACAGCGGAAATGACGATGACGACAAGACTGGCCATTGGCCAGAGCGTGCCTGAGAGATTGTAGTAGCCGAAGAGAGCCTCGGTGTGCTGGGTAGAGAAAGCGTTGTACTGGTAGACGGCGACCGACGCGTTGTAGCTGGGGTCCCAGACCCAAACGATGTCATAAATGCCGAAAACGACCACAAAGCAACCAAACACGACAAACGACACCAGGCTGCACACTACGAAAGAAACTTTTCGCGTGAGCATCCATTTCACCTTTAGAGGCATGGTCACGCAAAGACACCGTTCAATGGCGACATACGCTGCGAGAACGCTGGTCACGTACGTAGAAAAAGTCACAAGATAATTAAATACTACAAGGCAGATGTTGGACCAACTTTTCGCACTGGATGGAGACCAGATACCTATGGGGCCTGCCATTCTTTGCATGGTGCCACCTATGCACTTGACAAGGTCCCAGGCAGCGATGGTTGTCATGGAGATGCCGACGCTGTCCTTGAACCCTTGTTTAGCGAACACCGCAATGACAATGATGTTGGTGAAGATGCCGATGAAAGCGATGGTGAAGTTGAAGGTCATGTCAACAATGATCTCCATCAGCGCCCTCTCGCTGCCAGTCATCAGGATATCAGGGGGAACGAACTCTCCGTTTTTGGAAGTTTTTGACTGTAGCTCCGCAGAAATCTGAAACTTGACACTAATGTTCATTTTCTCCGAGAATATTGGCATTTGAACGTTGAAACTATTTGAGAAAAAAAACAACACAACTTTGTCAATTCAAAGTTGAATGAACACTTGCGACATGCCCAAGTGAAGAAACTTTATTGAAATAATTTATTTTCTATATACATATTGTAACATTAGATAATTCAATGCAGTAAATAAAAAAAAATTCATAAAACTATATTTAGTTTTTCAAAACATCAATAAATATCTGAAAAGATGTATATTTTCTGACAAAATGTAGGGCTTCGACTTTCTTAAATATCACAATAATAATTATATATCTCTGATCCATAACAAGTAACTTTTATCCAAGCAAATCACCATCACTAAACATACTACGAAAATGAAACCGAGTTTCGATTGATCAATATAATTTGTGCAAACATTATCAAATAATTAGAGCAAAATCAATGGATAGCTCTGGCACTGTAAATTATTCCACACTACACCGAAGGTGGCCTGCTGGTTGTAGCCTTCTAGCTGTCACCATTTAATTATAGGATGATCGAACAAGGACTTGTTTACACACAGTGGGACTGATTACCTGCTGTAAATGGTCTATTCACAGACTGGGGCTGAGTATCTGGTGTAAATTGTCTACTCACACGGCCCACATTTCTGTTGTTGTCTCAGTAAAGAAAAATCCTTTAATTTAGAATTGAAATGATGGGGAGATAATTGTGTGTACATTGTTTAGAAGGATTACATTTCTATAATTATATCTAAGGAAAATAGTTTACCAGCAATAAACTGACACGGTTTAAAAATAATTAAATTTTGCGTTATGTCAGAAGGACCCATAATGATAAATACTGATAAAGTATTTTTTGTTGTTGTTTTAATATTGATATAGTTTTGTGTGCGTTTATTTCACGTTGCTAGGCAACATATGCTTTTACCGCGCCTTTAAATATACGTCATTAATCGCGTTGCTTTCTTTATTGTTTTAAATCAGAGGATTATTTTTTAACATCGAAAATGGATATAAATACTTTCCATAACTCCATAGATTTACTTTAATCTTCAAGATTCTAACACAGTTCCTCTTGTTTAAAAAAAACAACAACAAAAACTACACGCTAGTCTGTTGAGTCATCATTTGCTTATTCATAATGAGAATATATTATCAAAATGCTGAGCCGCCATGTCATAAAGTTATTATGCTGCAAGTCTTAATATTGGCGCACTATTAAACAAATCCTTAAGATATTTGGTCATCTGGTATGCACCCTACAATTACCTGATTCTGACCCACCGAGCGATGCTACGTGTCGTGGTAAAATGCCTGTCGATGTTTTAGGTATAGTAATCGTTCTCATGGATTGTCTGGTGAAGGACATCAAGGCTATAAACTAGTAGTTCTTTCAGCCAACCCCCTTGCACCCCCTGAGGCCTTAAACTTATCCATAGCGCCTCCTCCCCGAGTCTTTCCCCGTGATAAGGATGCACACAATAAAGAGGATGCACACAATAAAGAGGTCGCACACAGTATAGACGATGCACACAACTAAAGAGGATGCACACAATAACGAGCATGCACACAATAAAGACGATGCACACAATAAAGAGGATGCACACAATAAAGAGGATGCACACAATAAAGACGATGCACACAACTAAAGAGGATGCACACAATAAAGAGGATGCACACAATAAAGACGATGCACACAATAAAGAGGATGCACACAATAAAGAGGATGCACACAATAAAGACGATGCACACAACTAAAGAGGATGCACACAATAAAGACGATGCACACAACTAAAGAGGATGCACACAATAAAGAGGATGCACACAATAAAGAGGATGCACACAATAAAGAGGATGCACACAACTAAAGAGGATGCACACAATAAAGAGGATGCACACATAATTGAGTGTAAAAATATCTAAACTTAAGAATTAATCAAAATACAAATGAAACCTCCCATCTAATTAATTTGATGAAGCGCTATTTGAATATCGATATACCATATTTTTTCTTGTTTGTTAGCATGCTTTCTAGACATCTAACATTTACTTTAAGCATGTAATGTATACACATATATTATATAATGCGATGTGTTCGTTTGGGGTAAGTGGTATTAGTTTTTCAACAACTAGTTTAAAGCCTTTTGACAGAAAATTAAACACCAATGTCCATATTCAGATACAATTTAAATGCTTACTGCAACACCTTCTCTAAGTAAAACTGTTAGTATCAGATCTTGAACTTCGTCACGCAATCAACATCATTTTTTTGTGACTATCCACTTCTCTGCTCCATGAATCAAAAGAAAGAATTATTAACTAACATGTGATTTACACACATGAGATCGTGAAGTCTCTCAGAATTTTTTAAAATGAAATAACATATACATAATATGGATTCAAAACTTGCAAATGATGATGTAACATCTCAACCTTCTCTTCTAGTCCAGAGGGTAATCAAAATTAGTATAAACCAGTCACAACTTTAATTGATGATCATGAGATTTAACTCAGTTTTATAATGTATGAAGATGTAATAGATTTACTTACACTTTATGTAATGCACCAATATGTGCAAGATTTACCTACAATTTACTTGCAAGGTTCTCTTTCAAATTGTTTCTTCATCATTGAAATAGCACTGATTTTTAAATGACAGAAAATTGTTGTTTATTGCCAGATGCGCCCATTGTTTGTCGTCGCCTTGGTGTTGTTGGTGACGTTGTCAGCAGGGATGCCAGCAAACAATGAAGGTAGTTTACTTAAACCTTTCTTATCTTTACTTCGTGCTTCTTACGTTTCTCTACATGGGTCTCATTTGACATGGTCACATCCTGACATGTGTGTTATACTGTTTTTTTTTTCTCCACATTAAACACTGCTTGAAACCAGAGCACGGTTCATTTTGGTAGACTTTATGAATAGTGGGGTTTAACACAAATAACGATGTTAAATTACTTGATCTAAGAGTCCATTACACTCTGTTAGAACACAGGCTTGTGCCTCATAGGGCCCCGTCGGGACGTACACAAGTATGTTTTACTCGTCTATTAATAAAGAGATATCGGCATGTGGGTTCAATTCTTTCTCTTTATCAAATATAGAGAGACCGCTTTGATCTAGACAAGTTTAAAACAAGTGTAACGTTAGGCCAGTAACCATTAGTTTATCTGTCTTTTAAAAAAAAAAAAAGCTTTAACAGATTATGTTTGGCAAAGTTCATTTTCTGAGTAAAAAAATGTTTTATCTATCATGTTGGTGTTACTTTTACATTTTCTATCCTAATTAAAAAACAACAAAAAAAAAAAAAAAAAAAAAAAAAAAAAAAAAAAAAAAAAAAAAAAAAAAAATTTTAAAAAAAAAAAAAGTTTTAAAAAATTTTTTTTGGAAAAGTTTATTTTCTAATTAAAAAAATTTTTTATTTATCATGTTGGTGTTACTTTTACATTTTCTAACCAAATTAAAAAAAAAAAAAAAAAAAAAAAAAAAAAAAAAAAACAACAAAAAAAACAACAACAACAAAACAACAACAAACCCCTCGCCTCTTACTAAAATACTTTGGTCAATTGTGATTAATTTCTCCGTTGTCTAGTTTATATTTTGCAATAATATCGAAAAATTATATTACTTAAGGCCTAAGTTTAAATATATTTGGCTATTGAAGACAAAATAGACTGAAATGCAATTAATTGTACAGGGATATTACAGACAATATAACCTCAAGTAAAAATATATAGGGATATTGAAGACAAAATAATAAGTTTAGAAAAAGAATGAAATGTTTTGTCCTATTCTAGTCGACATAATGATATCTCCGCAATTTCCGGACCATTGCACCCTTCAAAACTGCACTCAAAACACATCTCTTTAAACTGTACTATTCTGAGTGATTTCCCTTCTCTTAGGGATCTGTCTTGTTCTAGTTGACATAATGATCTGTCTAGTCTAGTCTAGCTGTCGTATTCTAGTTGAAACAATGATCTGTCTTTTTCTAGCTTACACAATGATCTGTCTTGTTCTAGTTGACACAAAGATCTGTCTTGTTCTAGTTGAAACAAAGATCTGTCTTGTTCTAGTTGACACAAAGATCTGTCTTGTTCTAGCTGATACAATGATCTGTCTTGTTCTCGTTGACACAAGGATTTGTATTGCTCTAGTTGACACAATGGGCTGTTTTGTTTTAGTTGACGCAAAGATCTGTCTTGTTCTAGTTGACAAAATGGTCTGTCTTGTTCTAGCTGACACAAAGATCTGTCTTGATCTCGTTGACACAAAGATTTGTCTTGTTCTAGTTGACAATAAGATCTGTCTTGTTCTAGCAAACACAATGATCTTTCTTGTAATAGTTGACACAATGATCTGTCTTGTTCTAGTTGACACAAAGATTTGTCTTGTTCTAGTTGATACAATGATCTGTCTTGTTCTAGTTGACACAATGATCTGTCTTGTTCTAGTTGACAAAATGATCTCTCTTGTTCTATTTGATACAATGGTCTGTCTTGTTCTAGTTGACACAATGATCTGTCTTGTTCTAGTTGACACAATGATCTGTCTTGTTCTAGTTGACACAAAGATTTGTCTTGTTCTAGTTGACACAATGTTCTGTCTTGTTCTAGTTGACACAAAGATCTGTCTTGTTCTAGTTGAC